GGTCTGGGTGAGCCACACGCGAAATTATTTTTTACACAAAAGCATTTTTTGCCCACCAAGGAGTTCCTGGCCTAAGGCTGCGTTCATACTTTGCGTCAGCGTCCACCAGCGACCATCACAGTTTCAGGCGTAACCAGCCTACTTACCCATACTTCCCACTCCTGGACGCTTGCCGTTCACTAGATCTATATACTCATACTTTCCTAGTCTCTCGAGACACTGGCTAGATCAGTATCTATACTTTCCTAGTCGCTGGCGCTGGCGTACGCTTGAAACGATAGTGGTAGCTGGTGGACACGGACGCAATGTATGAACACAGCCTAAGAGCTCGTCATTCTTATAGTTAGCGGGCGATCGCTTCCTTGCACCTCCTGCACTGAATGCCGTCTAACAGAAAGAAAAATTACTCGAGAGAATGGTTAATGAATGAATAAAGACGTCAACAGTAGCATTGTACGTTGCTATCACACTGGCGTCAATTTACGCTTTCTTCGACCTGAGAAACCTCTTTAATTCAAACCAGTATTGCACCTGCTAGGATCGGCAGCCTTTGACCATTTCCATGTAGAACAGTGATGGACGAGATGATCGCCAGCAACGACGAATTCCTCTGGTGTTAGCACCCCCGTCTCTCGGAACTTGCTTTCCCTCAGGACGGGGGTGAACATTTCGCCCACACTGAGGGCGGTGCTTTTCAGATTATTCACAAAATTTTGCATATCCATTGTTACTCTGAAAATGAAAATTTAAGAAAATTGTGTTCTTACTCCTCCAGGATGGCCAATAGCAATAGTAGGCGCACGAAAAAAATCATTACTTCGTAAGATAGAACGTTGTGAAAGAGTAGGGATATGAGTCAGAAGCACAGTCACTCCAAAACAAACACGAAAAGCAACCAAACCTACTCATGACCAAACATTATGGCGTGACGGAAGTACTGTTCGCGACTGCGGGCAACACACCTCAACAGGCGCCTTACTTCAGGCTTCAAACGCGCAGAGAGAGAACTCTTGAGTACACTATCTTAATTTCAAGTAGTGTTGAGCGGGTTATTTTTTCTATTAGAGAGCTATGTCGATCACTGATAAAGCACCCTTCGTAATGATGGAAACCAGGTTTGGTGCATTTTTTCGTGCTTTGAAATTTCTCTTTTTCTCACTTTATTTTAGTATGGGAAAGATTTGTCTGGAGTTATATTGGGATCATGCGCCAAGGACTTGCCGAAACTTCAGTGAGTTGGCTCGTCGAGGATATTATAACGGGACGATTTTTCATAGGATTATCGGAGATTTTATGATACAGGGAGGCGATCCAACAGGAACAGGTGACTGCTTTTCTGATATGTCGCAGTTTTTCTGAGAGAAAACATTATCATTTAGGAAGGGGTGGAGCTTCTATTTATGGCGACCGTTTTGCGGACGAAATCTCCGAGAAACTTAAACATACCGGTGCTGGAGTTCTATCGATGGCAAATGCAGGTAAAACATCTTTTCGTCCTTTCCTTAACTCGATACTAGTATCGCTGTTAAGGCCCAAATACGAACGGGTCTCAGTTTTTCATCACTCTTGCTCCCACCCAACACCTCGATGGCAAGCACACCATTTTTGGACGAGTTGCAGCAGGGATGAAGGTGCTGTTTTGATTCCTATTACTTAGCACTTCTTTTTTCTACGTTAGTGTAGCTGCACGGATCTTAGGTAGGTCGGGATAAGGGTTCATACATTGTGCCACTGCAGTAGACTCCGCGAAAAGGTTGCGTATCGGCTGACCACACACAGCTATAGAATCGAGAGTCCGTCTTTAAGTTCAGAATTCCTGAGATAGATACAAATTTAATACTTACCGCGAATTCTTGATTTTCCAGTTCTCCGATCTTTTTGCTGTACGCATGAACGTGGCTTCACGGCCGGTGCTTCCGATTCCTAACAACAATGATAACCTCAGCGCTGCTACAAACCTTTAGCCGTAATTTCAGGAGGCGGCCGTAAATAACTGAACAGCACTACGCCGTATTTTCACGCTAAGACAAAATGCTCAGGTAGACCGCACGGATGCTATTCCTTTGAGTTCTTGAGCACTAAACTGGGGGGAAAAAAGAAGTAAACTCCGGAAGAGTTATGCATATTATTTTTTTCTACGAATAGTGTCGTGGTTCAGTAACTCAGATGCTTAGCACCAAAGTGTCCCTTTTGGAGCAGCCCCGGGAAAACTTTGAAAGAGCTGGCAATCATCGGAGGTAGGGGGGAGGCAGACCTCTCTGCAGTGTCTTTGTGTCATTTCCGCTAATCATGGCTTACCATTAGCCTTAGTGGAAAAGTCTAATTCACCGCGTTTTCGAGTATGGTCTTGGTTACTTACTGCGGTCACCATACTGTGGAACCCCGTTTGAATAACTTTCTCAGCCTTTGCTTGTTATAAATTTATCGATATGAGTATGATGAGTTTTCTGTCCAGGTTGTGCAGAATATGGGAAAAGTCGATACTGATAATCAGGACCGCCCACGAGCAGAAGTTCGAATAATAAAAGCTTATCCAAGCGACGACTCTCGGTTCAGTTGAGTATACAGCTGAAGGGTATTTGTACATGTTATGAAGATTATTGTTGAGTTTTTGTTTCGCTTTTCATGTCATCTCAGTATTATTGTAATTAACGTTGAACAATAAAGTCTGGAAAACATGTTTCAACACCTTCAATCATCCTGCATCCTAGTGAGGAACGTTAATTTTGGAGCAGGTATTATCTTAGGAATATCTCCTCTGAAAAGCGCGTTCGGGAGCATTTTGTCCTAGTGTGCTGCATGTGCAATCCGAAGTTTTGTGCAGTTTTTAAGGAGAGGTGACAGTGCTTGGAGCGTTACTTCCGAGTCCGGGAGTCGGGTTGTAGCTGATTGATTATGAACACAAAAATACAGGGAGTCGAAGGTGCCACAGTTCCACCAAATTGATTGAATTGGGTCCTGGTGCAAATGCTGCGTGCACCACCCCGCTTGCAACGCCCCTTTCGGCGCGACGAAATAATGCTCTCCACCTCACACCATGCAGCTTGACTTTGGGTACTGCGGCTCAACTAGTGATGAAAAGGTGGCAATGGATTCAGCAGTGAAAAAAAATCTCCCTTAATGTTCTGGGTGGGGCTCCATGTTTGCTTGACAAGTTTTCACTTGCTGATAACGATATCACTTTTCTTCTTGTTCACTTCTAAATTGGAAGAAGTAGTCACGTTAACAAAGAACGTTGGGTGCGTCATGCGGCAATGGCACCTTCATCAGGAGCGAGTAGCTTGCCTAGCTTGTATTTTTAGCAGCGAAAGTGGTCCATTCTCTGCGCTTGTAGAGGGACCAAGGAAGATAGACCTTGTCCAAGGAAGACGTCTGCATACCAAGTAGATGCAAGACGTGCCTTTATGATAATCTCCGTCTTTTTTCGGTGCTGTTAGACCACGTTCATACTTTGCTACACTGAAGAACAGGAGAACCCATGCCTGTAAGTATCGAGTTGGAGGAGTACCCATTCCGTCAGATCGACACTTATACTTTGCTCAGGCGCCCGTTCTGTTTTCCCAATTCGTTGGCATCGGAGACATCCCCATTCACCCTTCGACACGCTCTCCGATATTCTGTTCTCCATAGCTGTTACGCGTGTACGTTAACTTATCGCATCGATGACCTCTTACCCTCTTCACTCCGACCCTGACTATTCTAGCGGTCTCAGCCCTGAACCACATATTCGTCCTATCCCATTGAGGAGGTGACCCATTTGTATCCATTTGCTGCACAGGAAGACTACTAAACAGCCTGAGACAGTTTCGACGTCGTGCATCTGTGGTTGAGTGGTAGCTGCTGGCGTGCATGGACAGCTTGGATTTTGTTCCTGGCTCATTTCATCTCCCATTTCCCACAGTTGAATCCTAACTCCCTGGCATTTTCGATTACAATCGAGGATGTGACGTTCAGCTACTTGTACTCCTCGTCATTTTTCGTTCACAGGGCATCGCATCGTGATGCGTGAAATGGTGGTGTCACTAAGATTAAACCCCTTCCCCCAGCACCTACCTACCACTTCACTATATGTTAACCAATTTTTCCAAAATTTCTCATTTTCGAGCTTTTCGACCAAAAATTTCGTAGAACGGGGGGAGGGGGGAGGGGTCCGCGGAAAGCCCACAACCGGAAACAATTTTTTTTTCCAACGCGGCGAATTTCTCTCAAACTGTCTCAGGCTGTTTAGGTAGTCTTCCGAGCAGGACAAATATTGATACAAATGGCACATGTGCACAGGCAAAGGCACATGTGACTCCCAACACCTCCCTCTCCCAACAACGACCAAATACGATCCCCCTCCCCACCAGAAAAGTACGACCCCTTGTGTTTTGCACACAACGATGCTGTACACTGTTCTTTCAACGAGCCAGCATTGTAGCTTCGAATGATTTTATTTTATTGCGTTTCTGTATGCAGTTGTGCTCCCTTATTATTGATATCGTCACAATCGGTCGGGCCGATTCCTAGGGAGATGCAATGAGCTACTCAAAGCCCCAGGCCGCTACTGGCTATTTTCTTCCTTGAACGATCACCGACCGACAGGGCACATCATTGGTTGGGGATTTTTCGAGTCCATACACCCATCCTTTTTTTGGGGTTGATAACGGACGCCCCTTCCACTCCAGCCCTCTGCTTCTCAATCAGACCCGAAGGACGTCGAGCGAGGGGGGGGGAGGGGAGGGGTAAAAGGTGTAAATAAGGAGAGTGTGTGAACTGAAAAGGCCGCGAGACCAATACTGCCTCCCCCCCCTTCTTCCCAGGTCTTCAGATTTCTCCCCATTTACATGAAACAGGATCTCGAAAAGCTCACCACACCTCACGCACTCTACAAAGCCATAAAGTAAGATATCCCTTTTCCCAACAATGAACAAGCACGAACCCCCTCCCCCTTTTACAACGTCCGTGAAGCAAGAAAAATCAACTGTTGAAATAAATTTTTCTCAGCCCAAGTACGACCCCCCTTCCTGGTGACCAAATACGTCCAGCGTGTTAGGGATCCCACTCGCAAAGGATGTGCACTGCACCCGATCACCACTGGTCAGGAAGCCGAGTCGAGCGTGTCTGATTCCGTTCATTCTGACACCATCCCCTCTGGTTGCGACGTTATCAACCATATTGAATTCCCTTTTGATGCCGAAGTATCATCGCTCCAACGAATCTTCTAGCTTCGGCTCTGACTCCTGAGGGGCTCAAACCACTTACTTATTAGTTTCTATACCTGCAGCGATGAGGTGACTTAGTCGTCTTCGGCTACTCAGTAAGCCCATTGAAGAGTTCTGGACAGGCCCGAATAAGACGTGAACCTCAAATTTCGCTAGATAGAACATAACAACGTAAAACCAAAACGTCTGATCAAGGAGTCAAAAACTCCATTGGAATTACAGGATTCATAGGTTTGGTCTCTTGAAAAGAACGGTGGAGAATTTCGAAACGAAGCAAAGCCGATGATTGAGAGCTTGCCTTCTACACTTTCTCTCAGATGTTACCCTACCAATGATCGAAGAGAGAGAAGCTCTGGCTCCGATCCAGAACAGGTTTTGAGAGTGATTGAAACCACCCTCTCCTCTTTTCAGTTAGAATGCTGAAACGGCAAGGCTCTTCATCGAGGCACCGAAATTCATAACTATGTGACCGAAGAGCTTTTTCTCTCTGAAGGCATTAATTGGTTCGGACGAGTTTTAGATGATGATGATGATGGAGACATCATCTGAAACTCTCCCTCAGTGGAGCTCTCAAGATTCGTTTAGCGTGTTTGTTAACCTTTTGCTAAAAATATGTAAGTCTGACGCACAAGCACGCCGGAAGTGTAGGGAATCCATGGTAGGGGAGGAGGACAACAACGGTAACACACCAACGGTAAGGGACGGGTGCGGACCCAAGACTGCTCGACTGGTAGGATAAATGCTTAAACGCCTTTACAGCTTTAATGAAGTTTGAGATAGTAGTGAATCCGAGGAGCCTGATCGCGCCGATCACTCCACCATCTACCCGCTTGTGAAGCAATGAAAGAGGAATAAACGGAATGTTCGGGGGTCACTTTAATCTCAGTATGAGCTTCAGGGGTCACTTTAATCTCAGTATGAGTGAGCAGAACAGAAGCCCCTCCGTGTCAGCTGAAGAGGGATGGCGCAGCTGATTTTTGCGGCTTCAGTGTAGCGTAAAGCACTGGACTTGCTGGTTTCTAGGGGGCCACTGGACTAACTCAACAAAGCGACTGATTTAGGCTTATTCTCCTCCTTCAAATAATTATTTGAAGAGTACAGCTAAGAAACCATGAGTGATTCACCTCGTATTCACTTGTTTGTTGTTTATTCAGTCTGTACTCAAAGGTGGCACTACAACTGTTTCACAACAAAGGTAGTCAGGCAAATGTAATGGTAGCTATATAATTGCAAGTAAAAATAAAGATGGACCTAGAGAAAGAAAGGTCTGGAAGCACGAGGCGAAAAAACTGTATAATAATAGAGATAGCCGAGAGACCTAGAGGGCTTGCAAATGCAGTTTCAAAAAAAACTTCCACTTCGAACCTGACTGATTGAAATTAAGTTTTTCGGAGCTTATGTTACTGAGGTGTTTCCTATGAAGGCAAATAGAATGAGCAGCACATGAACTCGTCATTAACTGAACAGTTTTCAATTCCATTCTTGTTTTCAAAGGGTGACAGAGTTAAAGGCATATCGCACATAACTTGTACTCGGTTATATGTAGCAGCAGGGTAGTGGGAAAATAATGGAAAAACGAATTGAAACGGTCAAAAACCTGTGAAGAGAAGCCTTCGTTCTTAATGATTTAAGAAGCAATCTCGGACGAGCTCCTGTTGGGCATCTTTGGCAATAAACCGCTACGGTAAATACGGCTGCTCGGATGTACGCATATAGTATCTATGGAGCACCGCGGCCGCTCCATATCACTATTATTCGCTTCATACTGTACTTCGCAAATGACGCAATACAAGCACCAGATAGGGTCGTCCATTTGTGGGCGGGCCAGCGCGGTAGGCGTCCGGGTCGGTATATTGCAGCTTGGTAGGGCCTTATAAGGGTACCTTCCTTGGAAAAGGCGCTACGCAGCGCCTGCTCAGGGGCGCGGAATTCCGTCCTGCCAGGCGTATTAATCCTACTCGTCTTAGAGATTTATCGTACCAACAGGTACATTCCTTGGAGCCTTTATAGGCAGTTTCTCTCTCAAGGCAAAATGGCGCAGTCCGCAGTGGCAAGAGATGTACAGGCTCATGTTTCATGGCGAAAAGCAAAGCGAAGGGGCTGGGAGCTTCTGACCCAAGTCCGTGGCTGACCAACAAGCATATGATAGCCCAAGTGTTGTTGTGCAGCATGTGTAGCGATATCGCTTATTTGGGTGTTCACCCTTGCCGTTTCATCTCAGTAGCTCTTCGCCGTGCGCTCATACCATGCTGAAGATAAAAGAGACATTGTCAGGGGCATTTCCTACGCCTTTCGCATCTTTGGAGACTTACACATCATCTTCCATATTTGATTGCTTTCACCTATGACCTGTAAA